GTACATGTGTAGTGAGTGGTATGGAGACTTAGGAGGCAACACGTTTTTATTTAATAATAACGGTAACACAAGAGGTCCCTAACTCAAAGGGGTAACGGCCCCTTCCACCCGATGACCTAAGGAGGTATAGCCTAGGGGCTAACGTCATCATGCTTTTTGACAAGTACGATTGGGGCCCCCCATGGGCTGGTGGATGGAGAGATAATGTCTGCGGCCAACATGTCGTTGACGGCCAACCGAACATGCTCCTTCTCAGCCGGGCTTAAACTAAACGGATTCTGCTGGATGGGGGCCGCATCGCCCATATCAATGTGATGGCTTAGCAGGTTAGTGCGCCCAATATCCAACATCCAATTTATGCATAATAAAGATATCAGCGAATTCACGAAGTAACGCACGCAATTTAGCTCGCTGGGAATCCGTCAATTTGCCAGCCGCCGAGCAAAGGGAGTCTATCTACTGTTCGTCGAGGTTATAATGTGGTTGCGACCAAGCTGTGTCATCCACGTGACCAACAACTGAGTCACCGAGGAGCGTGGGTGATGCGTGAGCAATCACGGTAACCTGCGATATGACCGTCGTTCACAACCCAGCATTCAATACCTGGATGAAGGGTTCACCATTACCAGGTACGAGTGTCTGTGCCCCGACGAGCTCCAACCCATGCACCGCATTGTTGGACGGAGCCAGCAAAATCCCTCCCACCGTCGCCCCCGAATCGAGTGGTTTATGCAACCGAAGCGGAATCAACATTTGAGTACCTGGCGGGATACGAACCGTCCGGGACGCCAGCGCTTGGACCATAGCACAGGCCTGCGTAATTGGGTGGGGGAGGGCAGGAACGACATACGGCGATCAGAGGGGAACTCAATGCAGCCTTTTTCGATCAACATTTTAATCGGCATTTTACCAAGGAAATTGGTTCCCAATAAACATGGAACGGCAAAGGTCTTTGATACCAAAATGGGACCCGTCAATTTTACGTCGACAATGACCCCCCGTTCGCAGAAAAGCATGGCACCATAACAGGAACCAGCGATTGACAATTCCTAGGCAGAACGTTGTAGATGAGGTTCGAAATATTGGTTGCAGAAGCCTCTGTGTCGATTAGCAACCAGAACTCAATCCCCTGAATGGAGCCGATGATCACAGAGGATCCTGCGGTCGTGTCGACAACCCTATGGGCCAACTCTGACCACTGACCCGGTCGGAGCACCCATTGTAGATCAACGCACTTCTGCCCCTGAACACCCAATGCATGGCGAACGAATGGCGCGGCACAATGAGGTGTATAAGACGAAGGCAGGGACCGAATGCGGAGCTGAAGGCGAGTGAGAAGACGATGGTGAAGGTCCAGGGACGCGGCATCGAGGTGCTTTGCAGCCCGACAATAGATGTCCCCGAGGACCGCAGTTGTAGCATGTGGTCCGGGCTGCAGGTCGTGGAGATGCTTGTCTTCCCCGCCGGAAATCACCTTGGTGAGGTCAGTCGCCGGCCCTCCAAACCGTGGCCTGATGTGTTGTGAGGGCCTGGTTGGGTTGGATGTCCTCTCCTGGAGTGAGGGTTTCCATCTCCTGCTGGAGAAGCAGTTGGGCATGTAATTACTTTGTGGCGCACAGCGAGTTCAGATCCGCATCGTCTACCACAGTTCTCGTGCGAGCACCAGCAACTTTTCCAACACCATAGTGTCAATGCCCTCGTTGTCCATGCGAGGGAAGGCTGCCTTCGCGAACGTGAGCAGCACACTATGGAAGGCAAGGTGGGTTTCGAATTCGCCCTTCCTCCGAACAGCGAAGCGATGTCTTGTGTCCAATGGGGGTTCGTAGATCATAGCCATCTGATTCATGGCTTGTTGCAGCATCGAGCAATCCCCACGTGGAATTGTAATGAAGGCGGCCAGGGCGTCATCGTCGAGGGCGGCTGGAAGAGCCCGTAGCGCTTCCTCCTTCGTCCATCCCGCCATTTTGCTATTTGAGATGAACCGCCACTGAAAAGCCGCCCAGTCGCCACCCGCCGCAGATAATTTCTTAAAGACGGGCAGGCACTGTTGCAAGGTTGGAATGCGTCCCGTCGCAAGTCTTGTTTCCATCATTTTCATGGCAGCTGCTTGAGTGCTGACGGCCTTGGGGGGATGCCCTTGGCTTCCGGTTGGAGCGATGTCACCTTCGGTGGTAGCGACGTCACTTCCGGTGGTGGTGATGTCACTTCCGGCAGGAGTTGTAGAGGCAATGGCGGGAACAACCGCTCTTTGCAGGTCCGGTCTCGCCGCCACCGCCGTCGGTCTCCCTCAGTTTATCTCTTCGAGGATGGAAGCCGCGGCATACAGGAGGTCGGCGAGGCAGGAGTGCGCCACCTGGAGCATCCCTCCTGTCAGCGGTGAGCCTCCGGTTGGTCGAGCAGGCTGCAGGTCGGCCGTGGAGGAATCGTCCTCTTCGGTTGGCGCTGTCATCCCTGGAGCCGTCGCTCCGTCGTCATCCATGCCTGGAGCCCTAGCAAGTGTTTTTCTTCTGGTCTCCATACTGGCGAATTATTTGGCCACTTCTAACACCAGTTGGAGTGGGTTGTATGAAGACAGAGTTTCTTAGGAGGCAACACGTTTTTATTTAATAATATCGATAACACACGAGGTCCCTAACACAAAGGGGTAACGGCCCCTTTCACCCGATGACCTAAGGAAGTATAGCCTCCGGGCTAACGTGCCCTAGTTACTGGGACCACCTATCTTAGCCCTCCGGCTAACAGGACCAAAGGGAGGCTGACCAAACCAACCCAAGGTCCTCGGTCTCGACCACTGGCCCACTCAGACCCGGCCCTAATAAGGACTTCGGGTCCGGAGATCTTCAGGGTCCTATTCTTGAGGCGAGCTCTTCGGTCTTCGGTTTGCCGCTGACTGCCGGATCCGCTCAGGGGTCCAGCTTTTATGGGGCTCCCAGGGTCACTCCGCCCCTGGCCACGCCCACTCTCTGGAACCTTCTGTAGGAACTTAGATTGTTGCGTAATCCCCCAGTCCTCACTGGGGGCCTGGGGTGTTCACCTCCAGTTCCCAACTGTCCTCCGGGTTGCCTGACACAACAGTCCTACTTGATACAGGACGGACCCGCTATTTCCCCCTGTTGGCCCATAGCTGGAGCTACATATAACCAATAGTGGTGACAGCGTATTACGCCTGACAATTACTCACCACACATGCATGCGAATTATACGTGTTGGGTCTAACCTATACGGAATGGAGTCAGCTGCAAGCCGACGATGCTAGCCTGCTACCATTGTGCCACCGAGTGAAGGCTAGATTGTGCACGTCAAACTCCCAAAAATGTTTGCACTTGGTGTTCCATGGCGGATTGTTGATGTGGTGGGATGTGATCACTGAACGACGGTGCATGGTGAAACCCACATCCGTGCGAGGCAAGTTTATGTGGGAGATCCACGCAATTAAGTTACTGCACCTGGGGTGAATAAAAAACACTCTTGACCCTCAAGCAGGATTATTATTGGCCATGCATGTCTGCAGACGTTAACAACTTAGTCACAGGATGCACAGACTGCGTACAAGGAAAAGCACTGGTGCATAGCTCACAGCCTCTCTTACAATCTATCGTTGTCTGCAGAGTCAATGAATTGGTCGCACTTGATTTTCTAGGGCCTTTTCCATGCTTAGCCAGGGGAAATATATTTCTCGTGGTAGGGATAGAGTACCTAACAAGGTGGCCGATGGCATTGCCGCTGCCCGACCAGACAGCAGCTTCAATTACTGATGCCTTCCGTTACAGGTACATGATGGAAAAAGGACCTCCTGAGCAGCTCCTCACTAATCAGAGAATAAGATTTTCTTCTAAACTCCTTAAAGAATTATGCAAGTCATGAGCACAAAGAGAGTGCGTACTTCCCCATATCACCCCCAAATGGATGGTATGGTCGAACAGTTGAACAGGACTCTGACATCAATGCTCTACGAGGTTGTTGAGACACAAACCGACTGGGATATTCACATTCCGACTGGGATATTCACATTCCAGGGGTCTTGGCAGCTTACAGACTGGCGCCACATGCCTCCACGGGGTTTCCCCCTTCTAATTCATGTACGGCAAGGAGCATGAAACTCCCATATAACACAGCTGGATAATGCTCCAAAAAGCGTGTCAGGTCAGATGTTGTCCTTACAGGTCTTGCTGGACTGACTACATGAAGTACAAACAGCGGCAATGGCAAACACCTCGAATGCCCAGGCCACAAATGAACGACACAAAATGCCAGGGAATCACACACTCCCATGGTCAGTTGGCAAGAAGGTGTGGCTGCATTGTCCACAGATCCCACTACATGCCTCTGCTAAATTGCATCGACCATGGCAGGGCCCTATGGAAATATTTGAAGTATAGTGGCCGCAATGTGTACGTGTGAAGTCGGAACGTCGCCGTTGGTACATTAACCCATCACGCCTAAAACATATTTCCATCATCATCTGAGCACCTCATCCCAATGCCCTTTTTCGCCAGAGTCTGGGGTGTTGAAGGAGCCGCCGCAGCCGCCAGCAGCACCAGAATCACAAGTGCATGACCACAACGCCGAGTGTGACCCAGGACGCATCGGAGCAAGACCCTGCAGCGGATGCCGGGTCGCGACAAGGTCCCAGGCAAAATTTGCACAAGATGGTGCTGACGATGGACTGGTCGGCGCGGCAAACCATTGCAACCATTGTTCCCACAATCCTATTCTTGTTATTGTTCCTAATTGTGAGAGGTGCAATGTCTGCACTGATATAATTATCCAAAACACGCTGTCGACACAAATGTTGTATATGATACCACTGTGTTCTGTGTTAAATCCCCATGGACTCCTCGTGCTCTGAAGGAGGTCAGTCATTCCTCCCTTAAAGTTAGCTGGGACGGCTTGGTTTTTTCAGGGGGGGGGGGGGTGGGGGAGGCGATATAATGATCTAAAAGTTGCCCTAAGCCATTATGCAGCCAAACGGATATTTGAAAAGAAATTAAGGTCTCCAATTGGAAGAAAAATGACTCAACGATAATTTTGGTCGGGAGGCAGTCTTTTAAAGGGATAGGCGTAATAAGGTTTGAACGAGAAATCAGAAAACAGAAAGTTTCCATTAGAGGGGAAGGCCAGGGATTGGCTAAAGGGAAATACAAGGACAAAAAGGTTAAAAAAGGGGGCTGACGAATATATAAGTGGAGAGCACGAGCAGTGGGGACGTTTGAAGGAACTTACAAGCTGGAAGGCACGCATGAAGCCTAGGGTCCTTTATTGTGGCTGTGTCCAAATAAAAGTGGCTCTCTTTAATTCGTCGTCCGAGTTGTTACACAATTTATTACAAAGAGCAAGAGTATCCATTCAAACACATGTACAATATGGACCTTTATTTCAAAGAACAAGCAGAAACCCCTTCCATTTCCATTAGTAACCCAATAATGTCCTTTTACAAGATTAAGCGTATATATAACTTCATTTTCTTTAAAAAAAATACTAGGCAATCATAAAATAAATGTATATTATGATACGTAAAAGGCAAATGTGGACATATATGTCTATTTCTATACATGACCAGGACTCCATCTTTAGTCTACAAAGATACATAAAAGCTTAGACTAGAACATAATTAAAATATATTGTGACTGTTTCACCAATTTTATCCAGATTGTGGTATAGGCAGAGCAGTGAAACCCTTCATGTTAGAAAACAGCCCACCGGAGGGGATATCACAGACCTACATCTGGAGATCCCATCAAGTGACGTCTGGTCCACACACAATAGAGCACAGTAGAAACGTATTTTAAATGTTGACGTTGAAAATAACGCAATTGTTGACAATGTTAAGATAAGTTATATTCAAAAACTCTTCAAATATAATAGTAACTGCAATAGAATCAAGACAAGCAATGAATATTTAACATTTGATTTAATTTTCATATGTAATTGAAACAGAAGAATTATAGTACATTTCATAATATTTTGAGTGGATTACTAAGCATTGTTTTGCTTTACTGAAGAATAATTAAACATGTATCAAAATAATTTTAAAAAATGGGCAAAACTTGTTTTTATTCATACTTAGCAATTATGTGTATGAGTTTTGTTACTTTAATTGAGGCTCCACTTTGAGAAAGCTATGAACACGACACACCTTCTGTCTGAGACACCGTCGGATCTCCGAGTCCCTTAGTCCATAAATAAAAGGACTAATAAATCTTGGACTGATGAACATAAAAAAATACAAAAATGTTTTGATCGTATACTTCAAATCAGAGTTGTTCACGGTTAGGTCTATCAACGTATTAAATGGTTGGATTCCAAAAGCACTCAGATATAATATTAACTGCAGTGCATGCAGCCGAAGAGTACGTTTGGCTTTGGTGGCCTGAGACTCACCGGAAGCAGCTTGCTTAGCTGCGTTTGCAACAAGTATATATGTGCTTAGAAGTATAATAATACTTACACAAAAAAATATCACAAGCAGTGATTGTCGTATATATGTAATATTATAGCTTTGTTCCAAAACATATTTTTCGTTTATATTAAAACAAGAATTAATTGTTTGATGAAATACTGAGACATAATTTGTGAACGTAAATATGATTTCTATAAAAGGAAAAACGAACGAAATAAACCAAATCACACCCAGGCATCTGAGAGAAGATTTATTGTTAAAGATACTGTGATAACGCAATGGGTTGCATATGGCAACATATCTCTCTATGGCCATAAAGGCGATGCAAGCAACCCCATTGTTAAACAATCCTCTGTACAAATTTGCATAGAAGTAGCAGCCTCCAACGTTAAAGCTAATCCTAGATAAAAACATAATAGAAGGAATGTCGATGATAAGTAAAAATATGCAATCACTAATTACCAGGTTTACAAAAAATATGTATTTAGGATTTTCCCGTAATTTACTTTCGCCAAAAATTGTTAACATCATACAAACAAGAAATGCTGCACACGGTAGAATGCTAATGATGACAATAATATCAGAAAATTGATTATAAGTGTGTAAAAATCCAAGTGTAGAGCTGTTATTTTCTTTTGAAACATTGACATCCAAAGAAATGGTTGATGTCATCATAGTTGCTGAAAACACAAAAATACACATATTTTAGTTAATCCCTTCTCACACATTTCGACGAATATGTAGTGTTGTCGACCCACTTTCAGTGATTGTGTGGAAACGCATTTGTAGTAATTTGTTAACCACACATATATATTTAAATCACCATAAATAAGAGTAAAAAATGGCCTACATATTTTATTGTGAGTAAATCATAGAATCAAGCCAATATTACAATTACAAATTATTGAGGTCCACATTTCAATCACCATGAACGTGATTTTGCTCACGTTTATGGTGATTTCCAATGGTCTGAGATCCGTTTTAGCTAAAGAGCTAAACTTTGCAGTCACATCTAGACACACACCAGTTAATAATATCATTGCCCAAGTAGACGTAGCTCTCAAGAGCCTGGGTCACATCGCTGCAGATATAGCAAGATCTGAAATCGCTGCAACCCTCAAAAACGTGTAAACGCCAGCTAGCAACATCAGCAAAGATGAGCGTTTTGAATTATCTCAATTAAAAAAAGAGATGGCATTGTCATCCTCTCAGCCGACGAAGGCAATGCCACAATCATCATGGACAAAATAGAATATAACAACAAAATTCAAGAACTACTCAATAGTGGCAGCTATACAAAAATATAAAGAGACCCCACCAACAGCCTCGTCATAAAAACCAACAAATCATTTCTGATTCAACCGCATTAATTGATCAAACCAAACAGTTCTCGTTGAAACCTTCTGCTGCCAGACCACCAAGATTATATGGCTTACCAAAGTTACGTAAAAAAGATAGACCCCCTCGTCCCATCGTCTCTACTATCAACTCCCCCACCTACAAACTGGCTCGTTTTTTGTCTGAAATCCTGCGGCCATTCACTGGAAAAACCATCTCCGCGGTACTGAACTCTACCACTCTACTCACCTGGTATGGACAATCAAGGGTATTTCCCTGTCCCCAGACGACCTGCTTGTCAGTTTTGATGTGGTTTCCTTATTCACCAAAGTTCCTGTACCTGACCCCATCGCAATCATTGAAGACTTGGTTCATCAAGGACTGAACACTGAGGTACCCCCCTGGTGAGACACTGCTTAACCTATACATACTTCACCTGGAATGGAACTTTCTACAAACAAACTGAGGGCACCCCAAGGGGCTCCCCCCTATCTCAGGTTGTAGCCAACGTTTTCATGGAGAAATTTGAGACTGACGCCATCCAAACTGCCACTCTATGCCCGACCTTATGGAAGAGGTACGTGGATGACATTTTTGTCATCTGGCCACATGGCCGGCCTGCTCGAGACCAATTCCTCCACCACATCAATTCCATACACCCAGCTATCAGATTTACCATGGAAGTCGAAAAAGATGGCAAGCTACCTTTTTTGGATGTCCTAATAAAATAGAGACCTGATGGTTCAATGAGCCACTCTGTCTACAGGAAAGCTACCCATACGGATGCTTACCTAAAACCGGATTCCCACCACCATTCATTCCAGAAGAATTCCCTCATCAAGACTCTACACCATTGAGCCCAGTACATCTACGACCAGGAACACATTGCCAGTGAACTCAAGCACGTACACCAAGCTCTCAAGGCTAATGGTTACTCCGACTACACAATCCGCAAAGCCATCACTCCAACCATGAAGAAGTACCCTCTTGAGGAGCCTTTCAAAATTATCACCTTACCCTACATTGCGGGGGTCACAAAAAGATCTCCAAAATCCTAAATAAACACAAGATCCAGGTCCGATTCAACACAGTACATAAAATCAGTGATCTGGTCTCGTCTGTAAAAGATGTGATTCCAGACATACAGCACCCTGGCATCTACAAACTAAGTTGACTCTGTGGTAGCAATTACATTGGAGAAACCAAACGACATGTCTCGGACCGCATCCATGAACATAAAGCAGACCTGAAACACGGTAGGACCAACACCTCAGCCGTGGCAGATCATTGCTATAATTCAGTGGGCTAACATTACATTGACTTCTCCGAGATGGAGGTTCTCTGCATGCCATCCAGCTACCATGAGAGATTCGTTCATGAGGCCATCCACATATGCAAACACAGAGACAATTTCAACCGAGAAGATGGATTCTGGCTCAGAAATCATTGGAAGGACGTAATAAACCATTTCGGGTCTTGATTGATTTTGCTCACGTTCATGGTGACTTTCAGATCGCATTCCATTCGCTGGCATTGACTATATAGCTTTTGTATTCTCCTCACGGATCAGAGTTTTTCGCGCCGCTGCAAGTTTCCTGCTACCACTCTCCCATTGACATTTTTATTTGCTCCTTCTTAGTACCTTTAGTAAAATTTTCCTCCCTTTATTACTGCTAATCCTACATAATACACTAGCATAATGTGACTTTGAGATCCCCCCACCTCCTACACATTCCACAAGGAGTGACTCACCTCATATCTGCATTTGTCATCAACATGCTAATTTCCCTTTTGATATGTAAACTCCTTTGTCAAGGCGCTCTCCTCCTCCCACCCAGCTTAAAATACGCTGCCTAGCTTAGCAGTGTTCATTAGGATGCTGTCTTTCCGACAGCTCTGTTCTTCACCTGACGACGGCTGCTTGCATTGTGGCCGAAACGTCGTGATAATTTTATTATGTTTATTTTACTTTACCAAAAGAACCAAGAATATAATTGTGGGAGACTGGAACGCAATAAAATGGGAAGGATAACACCGGATGTGGAGGCATAATGCAAAGATATGGATATGTCAAAGAAATTCACGGGCTGAAAAACTTCTGAATTCGCTTGAAACCATGACATGCTCATAAGTAATATGAAGTTAAAACAAACATACTTCAGAAAATGGACATGGAGAGCATCGGATGGAAAACGTACGAATATCATGTATATGTTAATGATCAACAGACGCTGGAAAACATCAGTTCGACTATGCAGAACATTGCAAGGAGTCAATGTGTCATTGAACCACAGCTTAGCACTATGTAAACTATGACTAAAACTAGCACGTATATCCAGAACGCAATATGAGAAGAAGAGGAACATATAAGCACTCGAGAACGAGGAGATGGGGATATATGAAGAGGACATATCGAGTAGAATCAGGGAGGCAAGAAATAGAACACCTTAGCATAGACAGCAAGGCATGCGCACTGAAGCACAGTCGCGCAAGTTTTAAGTAAAAAAATAAAATTGTTTTGTTCAGAAAAATGGAAGGAACCAGAAAGATTGAAATAATGGCTTGACGACTTAAGAGATTGGTGCCATGAAAATGTGCACTTCTTGAGCATATTGGCACAAGGCAGAGGAAAGTGGACACAAATTACTAAATGTGCAGTGAAGACCTACGGGCTATCTGCCCATGGGTCCTGCTGATGATGTTATATGACATGTACCATCATCTCCAAAGCAATTGGCCACATTGTGAGTTGAAGATAATAATTCAATAATAAAGAGAAGATAATATTCGAGACCAAGACAAAGCAGAGCCTTGTGTGACACCATAGTTAATAGTGAAATGCATTGCATTGGCAACCAACAACCACAACATATATTGACCGATCAGAAGGCAATGTATCCAAGCTTGCAAATTAAAATGGGTGCCACATGTTGGTCAATTGGCACGTAGTGCACAATGCCAGACCAGATCAATGATTTAACAATCTCAAGGGCTGTGGGCATGGACACTCCAAAATGTTTAAGGCATGAGCTGAAACTATGAGTCACATGAGCTGACTGATTACCTTTAGATCGTGCCTTAGGAATCCATGCGGATGTACTGTATATACATATGTTGAACTTATTTCACACCGTGGATGGCCAACTGTGCTAATCGGAGGTGTGGGGTGGGACAACAGCCTAAACATAAGCACATTCTAGTGTATGTTGTTTAACTGTGAATAATCGAACCAACAATAAGTAATGCATATTATCAAATTAACACGATTCATTGCAATTCACATGACATTAACCCCCTCTGGTTTTCGTACCTGATAGGCTCACAGTGATGATATCACCTTTATTCCTCGATTCTGGTTAATTAGCCAGAATCGAGGAAAAAAATTTAAATGTTGTGGGATTACTCTCCAACACACCAGTGTGGTGAAGTAGCAACTAGTTGACACGTTTTGTTTGGTTAACAAACCTTACTAATTGGCTGTGTCGGGGGGTGGCGAGTTTAACGACACATGTATATTCATGCGATCTAACCCAAACAACTTTTGTTATGGAAAATGAACTCCAAGTGATGATTTTTTTAAGGTAGATTCTATCAAATTTGAATAGTAAAGCAGTTTTAGTGATAAGATGATAGTCATTTATAGAATTTGAATCACCAGAGTGTGGGTAATACACATGAGCTTGAATAATATTAGTGTTTTGTGAGTGGTAAGTGCATGATGCGTGTGTCTAATGAGTGCTGTCTGGTGATGAGTGTTTGTTGCACAGATATGTACTAGCAAAACATCCAAAGTATAACGAGTGCAGTATGCCTTATGGAAATTCCAAGTTAATTAAGTTGTGCAGCCTGTATACGGAATATCCACTGTTGCTTTTTACGTGAAGCATCGTTCACCAGGTGATCATTTATGCACTTAGACATGGGCGCTCTGCCATTATAAAGTTTAACCAAATCATTGGTATATTTACCGACGTACGAAGTTTCCTTAATAATTTTTCCTATTTAATTTTCGTTAAGAGACTGTTATCGTTGTTAAAAAGCTAATGTTCAGGAAGAGTATGAGAATTGTCTGTTTTAACCGGGGTTAGTCATACCAAGTGAGACGGCAGAAGATGGATGAATGGGTGTGTGATCTTCATAAACCTGCAACGATCACCACGGTGGAATACCAGTCACCAATCTTCGGAGCATAGCAGAGACAAACATTTATTTACAGCATCTGAAAACAAGACCATAGCTCGTGCTTTAATAGACAAAAATAATCATGATAAGGATAACTTGAGACCAGAAATTCCATTTAAGAAACACAGAAAAGTAGTTTCATGAAATTGCGTATTAAATATACATGGCTTTTATTATATATCTCGATAAATTGAATGAAAATGGCAGAACAAAAGTAAGAGATCATCAAAGCAAAAAAAAAGTTATTAAGTAATGACACCAGAGAGTTACAATGTGGGTAGCAGGGTTAAAAGTAGGGTTTTATAAACGACAAATGTAAACCGGTAAACACTTACATAATCAATTACCGGTTTTGAATGTAATAGTTTACAGTTTAAATTTAGTCATGATTGCACTGATTGACAAGTGGCCGAAGCGCATTGCCCTCGTTTCTCAGTTAAAAGGTGAAAATCTAATCCTGACATTGCTTGTTTGCTCACGCCACTACTAGTGGAATAGCCGCCACTGGATGAAGTTTTAAAGAGTACTTAGTCCACTCTTCCATGCTGACCAGACGTATCTGCAGAAGGCACACCTACACCTTAATCCACCACACCATACCTAACAAATGTCTAACTGTTGTGAACTAATTTATACTGCCAGTGGACAGAGGAACGTTTTTTTTTTAAGTTGGCCCGTTGTTACATCTTCCGTTCTAGTAGATTTAATGGAAACAGTGACCTCTGGATTGCAAGTCCAGTGTGCTATCCATTACACATCCCTTCGTAAAATGTGTATATTTATTGCTCTAGACATATCCATATATTGAGGGGTTTTATCGGTTACTGGAAATGCTATATAACTAGTTTAACATCAACAAGCTATTGATAACTAACGTTTCTACACTCACAAAGACAACGTTCTCTCTATTTAACGTATATACTACTGTATGGGCAACTTATGCGAGCGAGCCTCTATTGCTATGGAGTAATGTGGCCAGCACCTCGTCTGATACTGCACAAAAGTAATGGCGAACACCAGCCAATTAACTCGTCCCCAGGCATTCCCACTCCTGAAAAAGGTGCTTTCTATAAAGTAACTACAGGGCAATGCGTCGCCGGCTCTCCCATTAAATGCTTGCCAACATTAAATGCATTTAAATAGTTTTATTTTTACCCTGAAATGTAATTGCCGTTTACACTTGCTGTATCTTCACGGCTTCTGACTTGAGAACAACATGACACTTGGTGTAGGGTGAGCGGTCAGCTCAAGTGACAATGCCGTTTTATATAACTGATCCGTTTGCTTTGTTGCTTTATAGGAGAGACGTGTTGACAGTCCCGTGTTAAATGCCAGCCAACTTGATCTATTCTGTTGATGACTATCCCATCATTCGTGGATTTTTTTAATAGAAGTTACGATGCGTCAAATCACGTGGATTGTTCACTTTGGCTGAGAGTAGAGTCCTGTATGGATCTAACTTAACCCGCAAACTGACCCGTGACTATCCTTCCCTACCCGAACCCGCAACCCACATCTGTGAAACTACTCCACATCTGTGAAAGGACTGGTAATCTGTGAAAAAGAGCTTCATACTTAACTCACAACCCGATCCTCCCCCCCTTTTTCTCAATCAATTACGTATACGTTTCGATGCTACAGTATTCTCGCAGTGTTAAAGTGCTCATTTCCACTAAATCTAAAGGCCTCCGATCTTAAATATGAATTGTGGAAAACATGTAACCACATATGTAGAAAACAAACTTGTAAGAGTCGTCTACACAAAAACGTTGAATAAAAAGGAATATAATAATGTTGGTGCATCATGGCCATCCAACCGGAAGCCGAAACTTAGTAGTTTTGAGGGTTAGCTGCGAGGACTCAAGCTGGGAGTGCCGCAACGCATCACAAGCCCTGATGCCAGCAAGCAGAAATGTAACCACTTTTCAGAGAGCACATGAGTCAACATTCATTACTAAACAAGAGTATTACATCTTGATTTGAGGCTTTCTTGACTGCAGGAATTCGTACTCTTTAATCTATTAAAATAATAGGTGATCTATTATTTTATTTTATTATTTTCTATCTACGTGATTTTACCAAAATAACCAAAGAGTAAGAGTATTATAGAGTACGTTTGGAAAGCTGAACTCGTTAATGAAAGCATCACACTTATTTGCCTTACTATGCATTTTTAATAGACTACATTCTACTAAATATGTACTACGCTTCAGAAATATAGATTTTGACAAATATAAGAACAAAAGCTGAAGGTTGTGTAAAGACGCATGATGAGGTGGATGTCTGAAATTAAAATTGGAAACAAGAAGAGCACATGGATCAGGCAAAAATGCATGCCAGAGATAACACATTGACTCGTCGGGAAAGTAATTGCACTTGGGCAGAACACATCGTTGGAAGGGATTATGACCGATGAACAAGAGAAAATGTACCTGAAAAAACGATCACAGCAGAGATGTAGTTATTATATCAGCTTACGCACAGGATTTGGATAGACTGTGGAATCGCAGGACCGCAACGAATGTTGACCACTGGGGAGGCCTTCAATGAGGCGATGATTGAAAAACATGATTAGTAGAGTGACAAACGCGAATCTACACATCTATCCTATCACACTATTTTTCATTGAAAGTTGGGTTTATACCCTTACCTGTAATATTAAGACATTCACGTAACGCTTTTGAAAACGAGAACACATTTTGCGATCCCCAAAAACCACCCTAATACATAATCCCCTTTTCTCTCCACCTGATGACGACCGCTTGTGTTGCGATCGAAACGTCGTGAGTTAAATACATTTTTTCTATTTTTTATTTGTATTTTTTTATAATTTTCATTTTATTTTCTATCTATGTAACTTTACCGGAAAAAAAGCAAAGATGATTAATAGGCATTATATTTTTTAAAATGTAGGAAAACATCCCTCCCCCATTGAGAAATGCAGGATATGCTTAATGTTCCCATGGAAAATATTATAATATTCATATCACTCGGAATTCGAGAAGTAAAGTAATTAAATGCAGTTTTAAATAAATAAAACTGACGTGCGTTAGGCATGAAATCAACATTAAAAATAACGGGTTCATAAAAATCTGAGGTTTTGAATGTAAGAGAAGAAAACGATGTCCACTACATACTTGCCTATTCGTAAGCCAATGGACCCTTGTTATATTTTAGGAGGATAACTCTGAGCCAGTTTCGACCTTCTCACAATAACAAGTAGATTGTAATTTTAGGCCATTTCCCCAGCACTACTCTCACTAGCTTTAGCTTGACAAAAAAATCAAATCGTCTTACTACACAAATTTACAATGTGCATTTGCTGCGTTTTAACGTGTCTGGAAATGTGGTCGCTTCGTAAATTATAATTATTTAGCACTGCACATGAATGCCAAAATCAAATCCAAAAGCTAGTATTTTGCAAGCAGTTATGCTGCAATTCTTGGCATTTAACCAAATACAACTACGAAAAATGAACATAATATATTAATTTGAGTTCTTCTATGCTCATTCAGTGCGCTTATAGTGAAAACTAAAGGAACATGATCAGACTTCATGCTAGATGTACATCAAGGGTTATTATAGAAGAAATAATTACTATACCTGGAGCAACACTCACTGTGTTGTGTGCATCCTATGAATGCATTCCCATTACCTTATATACATTTTCAGGGCACCCTTCACCAGGGCAACATAACACAACTGAATGATGCGTGACAATACGAGTCCTTTTTTCGTGGCTTTAAATAGTGCAGCTTAACAAACACAATGTGTTGCTGGGATTGATGCAAACAAGCCCGTGGTTGTTAAGTTTTAATTGATGTGGGAATAATTGCGAGAAACTGTGAATGATGTCATGGATGCACAATGGTTATTTTTGCCAGGGCATGCTCGGACCTGTATGTGACTTTGCTCATCCACTGTTAAAATGGATAGCACAACAGCATCCAAATTGCCGTTTCACTTAAAGTATGTAAAAGAAACATCTTATTGTCAAAGGAAAGTCATAAGGTCAAAGTGGGGTTGCTGCGTGCTCCATTAGCCCTTCTATGCATTCATTCCATCCCTCTTGTGTATTGTAGACTTATATATATTGTAATTTAACCTCTTATGTAACGTTTTGTGTGTCTGTTCAGCTATGATGATTTGATGTTTTATTTGAATACATTTTGATTGAACCTGGATAGATCCTTGGTATTTAGGTCACACTTTTTTCCCAAAAGTAATATATCAACAAAACGATACAGGTACACACTTAAGTTAAACAATTAATCGTATGTGTATATTTATAACGGATATATTTCTGCTCTAAAGGGAATTTTTTGGTTGTGGTCATGAAGCTACCCCACCCCTACCTACTGTCCCCGCCCACCACTGTTGCGTGCACACTCCTCCCCTTCTCCATCCACAACCCCATCATTACCCCCACACGTCACGTTTTTTCACAATTTTGGATTTTCACGATTTTGTTGTAATCAGTAAGTTCTCGTTTAGCACGGTAAATGCATTCAGCATTAAAAAAAATGCCGTGTTTGATGTAAAACGCGTTATGCAAAAATACATTTTCCCATGAAAAATGTAACAATAAAGTTGGGTGAGATATGATGTACACACACAGTAAGATGGTGGGAAAAATAATAAAGGGTATGCCGCCGCGTTACTGTTTTATACCGCTCAGCCGCGCAACTCATGAAAGTAGTTTGTCATCGGCTGCTCAGAAACCACGTTATGACGGTGCACATTCCGCATTATAACGTTGTGCGAAAAGTGTTCCCTAATGGGAGAACCGCGTTATAGCGCAAACGCACCATGTGTGAGGGTTGCTCTTTTTTATTAACATGGGAGAGAGGGGGGTTCGGATCCATTTACTCTCCCATGCAATTCTCTCAATTGTATAGGGCACCAATGCGAACTTTTGAACTTGCTTTAATGGTGGAATGAAGAGGGACAATAACTCAATCCAGAATACAGAGATTTAACGAGATTTAAAATGTATTAACTATTCATCGAGACTGTCCAAGGACACGAATCAAACAGTGTCGGATTATAATAACTTCACACTTACTCATTGTTTTTTTCGGTAAAGTCACGTTTGTAGGAATACCATAAAATTATATTAAAACAGATCAATCACGACGTTTCGACCGCAACACAAGCGATCTTCATCAGGTGTAAGAAACAAATCACGGAGGTAAATATGGTATTCCTACATACGTGACTTTACCTAAAAAAACAATGAGTAATTTATAAAGTCACGAAAGCTTTAATACTTTATTAACACACTTCTACGGGGAAGTTACCTTTGCAATTCTGTCCTAAACGTGGTGTACCCCTTACTTGCTCCTGCCCCCCCCTCCCCCCCGCCTCTGCAGCGTAGCAGCACGTGCTTCCTCCTGCCCCGCCCTTTCTCTCTGGCCCCTCCCCCCACCTTCACCTCTTATTTAAAGCTTCCGTTTCATCCGACCTTACTTCTCTGTCCGTCCTTGCCTCTTGGTGTCTCTGTATATGTATTTCTGACTTGTACCTCGTATTTGTTCACTTTGTCTATGCTGGTATGTTCAATCCAGAGACTGAACACGAAATTTAACACTCTTCTGAAATTCGTGGTCCGCCAGGTAAGTGTCTAACTGTGTTGTTGACCTGATTGGTTGTGCATCAAATATTTTTTCTTAGGTTTGTTGAATTCTCGTCTCTCATCTTCTTGTTGTATTTACCTCCGTGATTTGTTTCTTACACCTGATGAAGATCGCTTGTGTTGCGGTCGAAACATCGTGATTGATTTGTTTTAATATAATTTTATGGTATTCCTACATACGTGACTTAACCGAAAAAAAAACAATTAGTAATTTATGCAGTCACGAAAGCTTTAACTCTTTATTAACTTCACACTTCTACACAGCGCCCCCGTGGTGCAACAATTACAGATCACTGAGTACAGCCGAATTTTCAAAATTCTCGCAAAGTGCCACTGCGCGTCGACAAACCACAGAACACTGAGTACTACTGACTCCTTGAAACTTCTCAAAACTCGAACAACACACGGCTAGACAGTGCCACCGTATGTTGACAATAACAGAACACCGTGGTAATAAAACATACAGAAAACACGACCATTCCTACAAACCCTTACGCATGCTCCACTCTTGGGTGATGGGAGAAGGCAGCATGAGGGGCCATCCATTTAGTACGTACGCATGGAGGGTATGCTTGCGTATGGGTGGGTCTACTGACAATGTACCTACGCATAGGAAACGGGGAGGGGGGTGAAGCCTCGATAATAATTTGTCTACATTGGCCTTCAAATGAGCCTCAGTTCAGTTTCTTCAGCTGTCAGACAAGTACTACCATGAGAAGTGGGACTGTGGGAGAGGTGTCACTAGTGTGCCACCGTACCCCTGACTGCTAGTTATCACGCAGCTCAGCAAAATAAGTGGCCAAGGTATGTAACTTAATTGTTTGATGCAGCAGGCGGTGGACTATCTGTTTGCTTAAACACGTTAATATTATTAATCCTTGATTGTTTCTGCGTGGATTAAATGTCGGCTGTTCTATAGAATTCGGGGGGAGGGGTTGCGTTAAGCGTACGTACGCAGGTGGGGGGGGGGGGGGTAAAAAGTACGCGAGCGTACAGGGAGGGGTCAAGATTTGACAGATTTTTGCATACATACTAAATGAATGGCCCCTAAATCCAAAATACAGGAATCTGCATTCAAGATCATGTGCAGCCTGAAGGATTATCAGGACCCAACAGTAGTGTCTTGTTTAGCATTTTCAGCGGCGCTCTTGAAGTATCCACTCAAAAGACGGTCTTTGTACTTGGTGGAACCCTCAAACTGCACGTTGAACAACTCAACACTGCTGCAGTCTAGGTCCCGGAGCACCCGCTGGTCTTCTCGATCGTCTCTCTCCCAACCCTGGTAGCCCCCGCTTAAATCGACAAACTTAATCCAGCTCTCACGGCCTTTATCTCTCTCCCTAGCAGCCCATAAGCTGCCTGTTGCTGAGTGGAACACATTTGTCCCTTGTCTCTCGGCTCCTGTTAATCTACTTAGCATGTACAGCATCCTCCAATTGGAACCTCGAAAATGTGTTATATTTAACCCGATTTTTATTTGGCAACACCTGCCACCAATCAATTATTGACCCGTCGACTGTCCCCTTGCTCCATGCCACCTGGCCTGTCCTGACTGGCCAATTTGTGTCCTGCCCCCAATTAAGGCCAGACTGAGTGGCGCCGTTGCTTCCAGAAGGTGGGGTTTTGGGGAGTTGCTCTCCCCTTACCACTCACACCCCTTACCTCATGTAACCTCAGCCACTTTGGCCCACCCTGCGTGACAGCACTTACCCACATCGTTAGTGTGAACTTGCGTTAAACGAGGACTTACTTTACTTGAAAATAATATGCAGCCTTATGTATTGCAGTGTACCTGCAGCTGCCAATGGTTCAGGTCTTTTCAATTTAAAGCTTTCGTGACTGCAAGGATTCATTTTCTTTGATTCTTTCGGTAAAGTCACGTAGGATGAGAATAAAATAATAAAATAAAACAATAAAATTCTCACGACGTTTTGGTCACAACACAAGTGGCCTTCTTCAGGTGAAAGGAACAACCTATCGGGACGACAGAGCTACAATGAACGCTGCTAAGATTCGCAGCGTCTTTTAAGCTGGTTGAGAGAAGTGAGGCACCTTGACAAAGGGGTGTACATATTAAACAGGAGAATTTAGCATTGAAACAGTCGAGGGATTAGCTTGTGACTGGTCACATAAATAGCTACAGTAAAGTCAAAGCCTACACATCCACAGAGGCACCTAGTGCATGGACACCAAAGGGGCTGCAACAACTCAACTATCATACAGTAAACCGATGTGAAAAAAACCTAAGTCTAAATTACATCAATATAAATTTTGATTTAAAGCTTTCGTGACTGCAGTAATTCATATTCTTAGCTCTTTTGGTAAAGTCACGTTGAAGGGAAAAAATACAATAATAATATATATATAAAACAATAAAAATTCTCACGACGTTTCGACCATAACACAAACGGTCATCATCGAAACGTCGTGAGAATTTTTGTTGTTTTATATATATTTTATTATTTTATTGTTTCCCTTCAACGTGACTTTACCGAAAGAGCTAAGAATATACATCAATATAATAAATGTACTCAATATATTCTTCAATAAGCAGAGCTATTAACAGCAACTGGGTATACACTACACTATATAATGAATACCATATAGTAAACAGATTAAAAACTAAAATATAAACTACCTCAATGTTATCAATAAACTCTATATATTCTCCAAACAGCTAAGCTACCAACAATAAGTCGTTATATATCACCATGCTATATGGCGAAAAAATGGGTGGATTCTTACCCTCCACATCAGCACTATGGACTGCTACGAGCCCCGTTCAGACGGACGAGTCCATCATGGTCGGAACAGAAGAGAGAAACAGCTGCGAGGCGCTGTTATAATCATGTTATAAACCATACCATTAATCGTGGTGTGAGAAGTATTAAGAATTAATGCCAGCAAAAGAGCTGCCGTCTGAAGGTCACTATAAAATAATTAATAAAGAACCGAAATGGTTTAAAACATCTTTCCAATGATTACTAAGCCAGAAT